AAGTGCTGCTAAAACGCTATTTGCAGTAGCATGGGTAGCTCCTAGGTTAGTATAAGCTGAAATAACTGAGTGGTGAGCAAAAGCATTGTCAATTTCACCATCAGCATCACCTGTCCCAATAGCCAAAATGTCTGGTAAACGCTTAATAGCATTTAGAATTCCAGTTCTTTTGAAGAAAGCAGAAGTAACAGTAGGTTGTTCAAAAGCAGCTTTAATAATAGCAGAAAGTTCAGTACCAGTTAAACCACCAGCAGCACCAGTAATAGCAGTACCAGCTTTTGCTAACCAACCAGCCATACCGCCAGCCTCAGTAATAGTAGCACCACTATAAGCAGTAGCATTTTCTCTTAACTTAGTTTCAATATCCGCCAAAGTAGTTGCTTTTCTAATATCATTATTACCAGCAGCAGTACCAATAGCATCATCAATAAGTGTGTTAATAAAGGCAGAATTACCTTTGGAAAGACCACCATTTAAAGTAGTTATATAGTTCTTTACTTCACCTAAAATAGTACCATTAGCTGGACCAGTATGGGCACCAACATTAGTATAAGCCGAAATAACTGAGTGGTGAGCAAAAGCATTTTGAATAGAAGCACTAAAAGAACCAGCAACAGTAACATCACCACCACCTGCAGTTATCGCTCCTGCCACATCACCACCAGTAGCCGCCGTAGAAGCCCTAAAAGCTGTTTCCATATCCGCCAAAGTAGTTGCTTTTCTAAAAGCATTATCACCAGCACCATCAGGACCAGCAAAATTAGCCACGCCGTTTATTAAATTTCTCCAAGCAGCACCATTAACAACAGTAGGTGCCGTATTAGCAACATATGCAGCATCAAGTGCTGCTAAAACGCTATTTGCAGTAGCATGGGTAGCTCCTAGGTTAGTATAAGCTGAAATAACTGAGTGGTGAGTAGCCGCTGTATCAAGCATCGCAGGAGTCACCCCAGCAGTAGTAACAGCACCTACCCCTTTAAGGCCTTTTGTAATCTCATTAACCACAGTAGTTGCTTGTCAATCCTTTCCACTTGTTGTTTCTGCCGCAGTAGCATTCCGTAAATTACCGGCTAATCTCCCATTATTTCAAAATGCATCAATCACATTGCTGTCACCTTGTTTATAGGTAACAGTATCTTTAAAAAAATCGTCATTAAAAGTAGCCGCACCTCCACCTTTTTTAATGCCCTCTTTTCTATTATTGTCTTTTTTAAATGAATTACCAAATTCTTTTATTGTCATATTCTATAATTATATTATTTATTTTATTAAGTTATTAAGTCAATTTTAATACTTTTGTTACTCACTATGCTAACTCTTATCGCAAAAACTTTTTTTTTTTTTTTTTTTTTGCTAAACCCTAAATTTCTGGATAATTAAGCATAAAAATTAACTCATATAAAACCCTTTGTAAAATCCTTAATTTAGGCGGATTGTTTAATTTTAACAACTCATTAATCTGATCTTCACTTAGAAAAGTGAACTGTTTTATATATACTTTGACTTGCTCATCGGGCATATTCCGAAAAAAATCATAAAATTGGTTTTTTTCACTATTTAACCACAACATTTTTTGCCCACTCTCGCTTTTGGAAAATTTTTTCCCTTCTTTATCAACCAACAAGGGAAAATTAAAAGCAAAATTTTTACTTTCCGGAAAAAATCCCCGAATTAATTTTAATCCCGTGGTTAAATTTCCCCATTGATCACTTCCTCCTAATTGGCCATGACAATTATAAGTTTGGTAAAGGTAATAAAAATCGTAAGCTTGTAAAAGGGAATAACTAAACGCTAAATAAGATAACCCGGTTTCTAAACGCTGTTTAACTCAATCCTTGGCTAATAAGTAATTAACACTAATATTGCGTCCTACTTGGTCAATAAACTCTACAAAATTTACTTTTTCTAACCAATCCTGATTATTAAGAATTTGAAATTTATTTTCTTGGAGCGGTCAAATATAACGCAAATATTCTGTTCATTGTTTTTCTTTATTAATTTCTTTACTTATATTTAAAACTTTATATATACTATCTAATAATTTTGGGTCCTCTCCATAAAACTGCTCTAAAGGAGCAAATTGAGGCTTTTTAATCTGCCGAGAAGTAAATAATATTTTTTGGAGTTGCTCTTTGATTTTAGTTTGATATTCAACCAATTTTTTAACTTCTAACTGGGTCCGCTCCTTTACTTTATCGCTCGGATCCCCAATTTTACTAGTGGCTCCCCCTAACACTAAAAGAACTTGAAATCCTTGGTGAGCAAACCTAATTGTTTGAATTAGTAAAAATAAATGCCCGATATGTAAACTTTCCGCCGTGCAATCAATTCCTAAATAAACTACTTTTTCTTCGGATTTTAACTGATAAAAATTATCTAAGTTAGCAGAATTAGCAATTAATCCCCGTTTTTGCAAGTCTTGAAAAAAATCTACTAAATCACTAGCCATACATTATACAAGAAATTTTATCTAATTTTAGCAAATCCCTAATTAATCAAAACTAAGTCTTTCTTAATCATTTTCTGAAAAGCAGGACGCATATCTTTTCAATTAACCAATTCCACCATAAAGGGTAAATCGCTTTTTTCCAACTCTTCACGAATATCACCAACCGTTAAATCAGGAATATCATAATAACAAAGATCTAAATCAGAATATTTTCTCGCCGTTCCTTTTACTCTAGATCCGTAAGCATAAAAGTGATAGGGGTATTTAGAGAGGACTTGTTTTAGGATTTTTAGATCAACTTTATTCATGTGAATAACTGGCATATTATTTAATTTTCTAGAGAGTTTTAATTAAAGTTTCAATCTCCTTTAAAAAACAAGGTAGAATAGAAAATATATGTCTGCTAAAACATCAGCAGCATAAGTATGAACTGTGATATTTCTTTTCTCACCAAACTTAAACCAAAGTTTAGGATCTTTGATTAATCCTCACTGAGCTGATAAACGAAAAACTTCCCGAGGAAAAAGAGCTTCTTGACCTTGGTAATTCAGGAATTTTTTTAGCAACTTTCAACTTAACTCATAACCAACCTCAAAGGCTTGCACAGCCCCCATTTCTAATATTTCAGAACGATCCTCTTCTTGTAAAACCTTATTTTAAAATATTGCGAATTGAGATTAAAGGCTCAATATCAATCTCTCCATCTAGAATATATTTAGACATAGGTTATATAGTAGATTTTTTTTGATTTTTATAAAATAATGTACTAAACAAGTATACCAACTACTAGTTAAAATAAGGCTAGTTTTTTATCGTTAAATTATTTTATCTAATTTGTAACTAACAAATGTCATTCAACAATAATCAAATTTCTCCCCAAATTCTTAGTCAAATTCCTAATCAACCTGGCTGTTATTTATTTCGTAATAAGGAACAGGACATAATCTACATTGGTAAAGCACAAAATCTCCGTCGCAGAGTTAGCAGCTATTCCCCCCCCTCCCCTGACAATTATTTTCAGCAACAAATTTACTCAGTTAACACCATTGTCACTAGCAATGTCAAAGAAGCCTTAATATTAGAACAAAACTTGATTAAAAGTCATCAACCTCGCTTCAATGTTTTACTAAAAGATGGTCATTTTTACCCCTATTTAGAAATCACCAACCAAGCAAATCCTCGCTACCAAATAGTGAGAAAAATTAAACAAAATAATAAAAGTGAATATTTTGGACCCTTTCCTGACGGTAGCAAAGCTCGGGAGATACTGCAAATCCTCGAAAGATTATTCCCCTTGGCCAAGTGCAAAGGTAATTTAGGAAAACCTTGTTTTTACTACACTATCGGGCAATGTTCGGGCCATTGCTGGCAAAAAGTCCACCTAACTTATTATGAAAACATCAAAAAAGAAGTTAGAAAATTTTTTCGCGGACAAACCCGAGCAATTAAAAAAAAAGTTAAAACCTCAATTCAAAAAAACATTAATAATTTAGCTTTTGAAATTGCCCAAAAAGAGAAAAAAATTTTAGACAACCTTGATTTTTTCACTAGCAAACAGAATGCCGAATTTCCTGACCAACAAAACTGTGATTTTTTGGGGATTTATTGTCAAGACAACATCATCTCTTTTTGTTTATTAATTTACCGTTATGGCAAACTAATTAGAAGTGATGAAGCAACTTTTTTAATCTGAACTAACCAAGAAGAAATTTGTGAAACTTATCTTTATCAATTTTATCAAAACAATTTAGTCCCAGAAATCCTTTATATTCCTGAACCAATGGTTGGAACGGAACTACTAAAAGAAAGTTTAGGATTTGAACTAAAAATCCCCCAGCGGGGAAGAAAAAAGAAAATCTTACACCTTGCTCAACAAAACGCCCAACAAATTTGGCAAAAAAATTACTGAAATGAATTTCAGCAAGTAAACAAAAATCAAATATTAAAAGAGATAAGCAAATTTTTATCCATCCCTACTCCTTATTATTTCGAGTGTTTAGACATCTCTAATCTCTATACTCAAGACATAGTGGCCGGTTTTTTAGTCTTTATTAATGGTGAAAAGAAACTAATTAGAAGTAAATTATACAAATTAAACAATCTCGAGCAAGAAAGTGACATTGCCCGCGTAAAAAAAGCCTGTTTAATCCACTATCAAAAGTATTCATTAAAAAATATGCCTAACCTAATAATCGTGGATGGAGGAAAAGAGCAAGTTAAAGCCGTACAAAAAGCATTAAAGGAGTTAGGTTTGTTTACTAACACCATTGGTCTAGCCAAAAACGAGAACCACCGCACCGAAAAAATAATTACTGATACTTTAAAAGAATTAGAGTTTGGTAAGCAAGAAAAAATTAAGAATTTTTTTACCAATTGCCAAGAAGAAGTTCATCGTTATGCCATCAATTTTCATCGCAAAATTCATCGGAGAAATATTTTAAAACAAAAAGAATAGTTAAAAGGGTGACACATAACTATTTCTCAATAAGATTGATTGGCTTCCATTCTTTCTTTCATTTCTTTAGGAGCACTCGTGATAATATCTTTTAATTCAAGAGAGGCAACCCTGATAGTTATTATCAGTAATGGAACCGACACTTTCATCACCCGCTCTCGCTCAGCGGTTAGCATTACCGGCAAAATAACTAGTTCATTAGCGAACAGTTTCGGCGACAGCTAACTGCTGATTTTCTTGCTGTTGCATCTGTTTTTTTTAGTGTCATCAACTTGCTCATATTAAATGACCTAAAGCATAACTTTAACTAAAAATCTAACCTTTCAATAATACAAATTTTGAATAATTCTCATCCTGCCAAACATATAAAAAATAAAAAAAACCAGTTGTTGTATGAAAAACGAAAAAAAATTACTAGCCGTTCATCCAGGTGAAATATTAAAAGACGAATTAGACTATCTAGCAATTAGTCAAGCCGAATTAGCGCGGGCTATTAACGTCTCAACTCGACGAGTTAATGAAATTTGTCAAGGAAAACGCGGTATCAGCACCGATACAGCTTTACGCTTAGGAATTTATTTTGGAATGGGTGAAAAAGGAGCTGAATTTTGAATTAATTTACAGCAAAAATACGAACGAGAATGTTTGAAGGATATTTTAGAAAACCAAGAAAGGTTAATTAGTGGACAGATTCGCCCGCTAACTAAGGAAAAAGAAAAACTAACTGTTTAACTTTCTGTTTCATTGCAAGCATGACTACTGTTCTTTTTGCCCAGATCGAGTGAGAAAGATCCAAGGAAATTTCTGTGATCTTTACTGCCGAGGTTATTATGACAGTCGGGAATCTCGTCGCAAAATGTTAACAGAAAATTTTAGTTGAAAACAAGAAGAAGAATATCCTTTATTCTGATAATTTTCTTTCCCTAAGACTTGTTAAATACTTTGATTAACTAAAACATAAATAGTTTCTAGTTTAGTTTCAAAGCCATTTTAAAGGAACTAATGTTAAATTTTAGACTGGTTCTCAAACCTGTCTTTATGTTGAAATTAGATAAAATTTTTTATGCAAATCACTCTACAAACTATGCTTTTATGAAGCATTGTTTTGATTAGTTTAACGTTAATATTTTTTTTGATTTACCTCTATTTTTTTGTTCCTAAAAAAGTAATCCAAAAAGAAAAGAATAAACGTAAACGCGGAAAGAAAGGACTTAAAACTTAGTCAAATCAATAAACTAAAAATAAAATTTCTCCAAAAATAAACCCAACAAAGAAAAAAAGAATCGGGCTACCTAGAACAAAAATTAATAAAAATTTCTCTTAACTATTTCATTATGCTTCAAACTTAAAAAATGCTTGATTTTACTTCTTAAAAGGAATTTCAATTTTAGCAGCTTGATTGTTTTGTTGCTCTTTCAGTAGTTTATTTTCTTGGGTTAACTTAATAATTTCCGCCGCTTGGTTTTTAACCTTGTCCAATAATTCTTGCTTTTGTCTTTTGCCTCATTCTTCCGACTTCTCCATAAAGTCTTCATGGGCTTTTCTTTCCTCTCTAATTGTATTTTCCAGTTCCTCATTTTTTCGAGTTAACCTTAAAATTTCAAGGTTGCGACTATAGCCAAAACTCTCTAACTCTTCTTTAAAAAATGTTTCTTTTCAATCAAAGGTTTCGACGCTAGAAGGCAAATTTTCTAGTTTTCCAGTAATGTTCTTTTGTCCCTCGATAGACAATTCCTTTAACTTTTGGCAGTTTTTTAGCATTTCTAGGAATCCACTAAAATCATTATAGGATTTCTCAGTTTCATTTATTTCTATTAATAAAGTTGACTCCCCTAGAAAATAACTGTTCTCCCCCATCCTCGATAACCGGCCTCGTTGCTGCACAGCTCATTCTAATGAATTTCTTTCTCTCAATTCTTGTAATTGTTTGTCAGTATTGAAACCTAAATCTAACTTTTGCAAATTAACCAAGTGTGAGAAAATACCAAGTTTGGCATATTCAGTACAACTAATTCGATTGTCATAAATATTAATTACTTCCAATTTTACGTTTTTGCTCAAGTCTAAACTAGTAAGCTGATTTTGTGAACAGTCTAAAAACTCTAAGTTTACAAAATCTTGCAAATCAAGATGACCTTCGAGATTTTTTCTTCTAATTTTTAATTTTGTAATGTTATTCCTTTCCTCTTTTAGATAATTTTTCTCTAATCATTCTTGTGCTTTTACCATAACGTATCACTCTACTTCCTTTTTTTTATTTAAATATACAAATCTCTTTATAATAAAGTCTTTGCTTTTAAAAAGCATCTTGGTCAAATCCCTTGATTAAATTTGCTAATTGCTAATACAAACAACTAACAATTCAAGTTCTAACTTCAATTATCAAGGGGAGTAAAAGTACTCCTCCCTTATTTTTTCAACAAGTGTCCCGAACCGAAAAATTAATAAAAAAATAATAAATATTAGGTTAACCTCATCATTTCCATATTCGTTGGTTTAGCTCAGAGGCAGAGCAACTCCATGGTAAGGAGTAGGTCGATGGTTCAATTCCATTAACCAACACCAAAAATATTTAATACTTTTCTATTAAAAGAACCAGCAAAATAGTTTTGCTAATAGAAAAATATTAACAACCCACCCAAAAACTTTTTTAGATGGGCTTTGAAAGAAATTATTTATTGCTGCTTATGCCAATAACAATTCCAATTAATCATTTTTGATGATCAATCTTTAAATCAAAAACTGATAAAATTTTATAATCCAAAAAAATCAGATAAATATTTAGCTACCCCATCACTATTAAAAATTCCATGATCAGTTATGCCATAAGCATAAGTTTTTAAATAACTATCACTATCAGCGGTGACTACCCCTTTACCAACACTGTGCACTAATTCTATATCATTAACGTCATTACCGAAAGCAATAACATTGTGCAAGCCTATATTATACTGAGTCGCTACTCATTTGGCACCCATGCCCTTACTGGCTAATTTATTACGGATTTTGATTATTTTCCTTTCTGGATCCGGAATCAAAATTTTGTCTCCGGGATTTTTAGCTTTTAACTTGCTGCCAAAATAAAAAGTAATCGCATCGCTGTATTTTCTCCGTAAAGTTAATAAAATTTCATTAAACAATTTCTCATCTTTCGGAAATTCTAAAACTACTTGCAAGGCATCTTTCTCTCCTAACAGTTGCAAAATATTTTCTCCTTTAGCGAAAGGATTATTATTAAAAAATATCTCTCGATAATAGATATCATCACTAGTGCTAATAGTTTTTAGATCGATTTCACTATTTTTTTTTAATCCATTGACATGATCTATTAGAACATTGCAAAGATTTCTTTTAATCATCGGTTCATTTAAAATATCTTTCACTATTTCGTTTTTAATGGGATGGAAAACTACTACCTCCTTATTATTTTGATCCGAAGGGTTATTAATAAAAGCACCATTATAAGTAACCAAAAAAGTATCTAAACCAACTTCTCTATAAAAGGATAAAGCCGATAGATAATTTCGTCCAGTAGTAAAGCAAATTTTATGTCCTTGAGCCTTTAACTTTTGTAAAACCATTTTTAATTTTTGATTTAAAGTGGAAAAATCTGGATTAGTACTAGTTCCGTCAATATCTAATTTAATTAAATGTTTTTCTTTTTTTTTGGTTATTTCAATACTCATATATTATATTAATTTTAATCTTACACTTATACTGCTTAAAATTGCTCGAGACAAATAAATTTCTTTGCTTTCAAAAGTTTAATTACCTTTCTTTAGATCATATATAACAGGTAGCAAATTCTCCCTTGTTCCCTATTTCTGCTTCAGTTTCGACCTCCAACGAACAAGTAAAAATCCAGTAATAAACATTCCACTAATTAGCAAAACAGC